TGTGTGTGTGTGTGCGCGCAGCCTATTTCTCTCTGCAGGTGATCTACGCCCGGAGAAAGTATTCGGTGTCTCCGCCCGCCACCGCCGGGCCTCCAGAGTTTGAGAGAGTCTTCAGAGCTCAGTGAGCGTTTACTCAGAGCTGATTATTGATTATTGATTGTTGATTGTTGATTATTGATTTCTCCTTTATTGATTAGTGTGGTGATGATCGATCTGCTCACAGCATCAGAACATCAGGAATCAGCTGATGTTCTGAGTCATGTCTTTATTTTTAGGTCTTTGTAGTCAATCATTGATCAAACTGGGATCAATATAAATTATAATCAATAAAAACAGTTAACGCTGTTTCTACACTTTTTTGGGGATTGTTGCAGCCTAAAATGTTTGATTCCTCTGCTGCGTTTCTGAAACATTGTGACACACGTGCTTCGTTTTTAGACTAAAACTACAGAAATATTTATACCGTTTTTCTGTATAATTTATTAAAATTAGAATAAAATCAGTCGTGTGACGATGTTATTGGAGGAGTTAAAGTTAGATTTATGTTCAAAAAAACATTAAAAGCTGCTGAGAGTTAAACACAATAAAAGTAGTAAATAAAACGTCCGTAGTTTCTCGTTGAAAGAATCGAGTTGCAATCTGCTGCTTCACCACAAGATGTCACTGAATCCTTTAATGTCCTGTGTGTTCAGAGCCAACTGCTCAGAGTATTTCCCCATCTTCATCACGGTCCTGTGGACGTCCGGAGTCTTCTTCAGCCAAGGTGATCAGACACAAACACAGCAGTCAGTCAGTGTTTGTTCTTCCATATATCTAATAATGATAATAATGATAATAATAATATGTCTTTGCAGGTCTGTCTGCAGTCTGCGGGTTGCTCTATCTCTACGGACGCTTCCAGTACTTCCGTGGTTATTCAGAGTCGGCACAGGGACGGTGCGACTACATTTATAAATATATTTATATTTATATTGTATTTATGATTGTTAAAGGGACAGTTTGGTTTTTTAACCATATTTATTTCCACAATATTTTTACTTGAAGTTTGAACACAATGAACTAAAACCTTTTACGTTTATATAATCAATGTGACATAAGTTCCTCCTGTTTTAACAAATACCTAAATATTTGTTTTTATTTTCATCACTTTGGCGTCAATGAGCTTCCGTAGGTTTTGTATATTAACTTTAAATAATCTTATTTTATTTCCTCCCAGAATGTTCTGAATCTTTCTGAAGCTGCAAATACAGCAATATGTTTTCATTATATCAATAATTGTATTAAACTGGTGTCCTCTGATCTTCCGTACAGTAGGATATTGATTATAGATCAGGTTCTGTGACGTCTGATCGGCTGTGTGTCTCTCTGCAGTCTGGCTCCGCTGTATTTCAGCGCTCAGGTTCTCTGGGTTCTCATCGGGTTCTCCTCTCTCGGCGTTCTCCTCACCTTCTGCCGGGTTTACCTGAACGTGGACCTGCTGCTGGAGCTCGGCTCCGCCCTGGACCTGGTCTGAGGGACGGATGTCAGGGGTCAAAGGTCACAGTCACATAATGATGTCACTTGATTGGATCGATATTAAACCTCGACAGCCGTCAGGATTTATGAGTTGATCTCTTGTTTGTTTACTTATTTATTTTATTTATTGTGTTTATCTAAACTTTTGTGTAAATAAAACTTTATAAAGTTTCACCAGACGTCGCTCAGACCAAAGTAATCTATTACAGTCAACCAGACTCCATTACTGAAAACACATGAAAACCTACTAAAACTCATTAAAACCGTCTTTATTTCTCTTTAATTCACCGACTGATTCTCTTCTCCTGTTTATAGAGACGTGTCGTCACTGTTCATTACTTATTATTATTATATAGTTATATTATTTGAACCTTTTTACAACGTGTTTTATCGTCTCTCTCGTTTAAATGTTCTTTGTGTTTCATGATGAAACTGTCGACAATAAAAAGTTCTTAATATCAACGTATTGCTGAAGTTTATAATATAAACTTTATTGATCTCAGTGGACGCACACAGCAGATATACAAGGAAATACACTTTAAATACAAATAACATTACACACAACATGACACAGACAGACAACTGAATCCACACGATGTAATCACATTACACCGTCTTACATTATGTAATGTATTTCAATTCAATTCAGTTTTATTTGTATAGCGCCAATTCATAACAGAAGTTTATCTCAGGACACTTTTCAAATAGA